CAGTTTAATTAGATATGGAAGTAATCATTACAAATATTTACAGTACAATCTATTTACAATACAAATTTTTCATTACAATTGTGAATAATGTGTTACCAAAACATTTTATGAATTATATTATTATTGCATTTAGGTTATTCAAATTGAGATCCTTAATTTGGAATTTATCGAAGGGGACACCATAGACATTTTTGTCTAATCACTTATTGCAAGTTATAATAGACAGCGATATGAATAAGGAAATTGGATTATAACACAGATAGTAATTTTTTTACGTTGTTCTTTGTTAATTCAGCAAATTTCAGGCGGCAAGTATTACAGATTTTTTGCTGAAGTGTCCTTTTTGTAATTGGTAAATTTAAAACTTCTAAATGTTTTTTTGAAACTGGCCGAAGGTTTTTTACTTTCCTATAACGACACAAGTTGAATGGATTCAAACATCGATCTGCTCTTATTTTGTCAAATTTTGACATTGCAAGAAATTTTTATTATCTTATTTACAAATTTAGTGTTGATTCTTTGAATGACAGCGCGCAAAAGAGTTATTTATGCAATCTTTGGTTAGTTTTTGGTAGAGGTTGAATTGGCTTTTAGTCATTGTACTTGCTAGTGCTTGAACTGCATTTTAGTCAATATCTAATCGCATAACATACAGAATTCATACGGCATGCAGCACCACAAGTTCTCACATGTTTCATTACGTCGCGCGCTGCGTATTCAAGACGTTCCGTTCTGCGCGACTAGCGCTCAAAAATATTTAATATCTTTGGATCTAACTGTGCCTCCAACATCAAATAAAGAGATTTTGTAGTAGAGAGTAAAAGAAAAATTATGTTGTTTATTTCAATCGATTCGAGTCGGGTAAAGGGTATGTAAATCCTATGTTAACAATAGACTGCTTTTATTGTTAAAAAATTGCAAAAACAATAATTTTTTTTGCAATTAACTGAAAGTTGAATTCAAAATGAGTACAATAAAAAAAAAATCATACTGATCTGTTCACCACAACTGGAGATATTAAGAGTAATGCAGAGGAAGACCATCAAATTTGAGCAAATTATCCAAATTTCAATCGTAAATATTTTCTTTAAAAAATTTTTTAAAGCAAAATCCTGAAATACATGTCAAATGATTTTATGAATAGTATCTGTAAACAAATTTTCAGACAATTTTAAAATGCCAAGGTTAATTAGTGTCCGGTTTGTAAAAGAATGACCCATATATAAAAATGAAGAAAAACGTAATGGTCTTAATGAAGAAAATTTTACTATAAAAGGATGCCCTTCGGACTGAAAAATGCACCAAGCACACTGCAAAGGTTAACTAACATGGTATTGGCGTGAGTCGAACGATTTAAAGGATTAGTGTACATATACGACATTTTCGTTTATGATAAGACACTACAGAATCACAATTATAGGTTACGAGATGTTTTCAAACAACTACGTAACGTACCTAAGCACAATCTAAAACTCCAACCAATAACGTATGAATTCCTAAGTCGGAAATTAACCTATTTGGGGCATGTAATATCAGAAAAGGGTGTTACTCCAGATTCCGACAAAGTAGTGTTTATAAGTAATTTTATGGCACCAGCAAATCCAAGAGAAGTAAAAATGTTCTTAGGATTAGTAGGATATCACCGAAAGTTCATTAAAAAAATTGCAAGAATTGCTAACCCTCTGATATCAGTGCTGAGGAAGGATAAAGCTTGGAATTGGGGTGAAATGAAAGATAAATCATTAAATCTTTTAAAGAAGACTCTTTTAAATGCACCAATATTGCAATGTGCGGATTTTAATAAACCTTTTATCTTGACGACGGTGAAGCTATAGGAGCAGTTCTGGCTGAAGACAGTCCAGCAGGAGAGATGCCAGTGGTTTTTGCTTCCAGAAAACTCAACAAGGCGGAACTAAACTATGACATAATACAAGGAGTTATTAGCTATCATATGGAGTATTAGACAGTTTCGCCCTTATTTATATGATCAAAAGTTCATCATATATACCGATCATCAGCCACTGACATACCTCTCCCAGACAGCACAAGTTGTTTGGATTGTAATTGCTCTTATATTGGCCAGACCTGCCAGAACTTAAAAGGAGAACCCGCGCATTGCTCGTCTCGGATTTTGATGAAATTTGGCACAATGGTAGATTTTATGCCCAAACTGACCGTGGTAAAATATTAGAGGCCTATGAAAAGCGGTTTAATTATAAAAATTAATTAAAGTTTGCATTTTAGCAGCGCGCGCTATACATAGTTTGCAACGTGCGTTCTTTCCGGTTCAGTCGTAGCCCAGTGGTAATGTGACTGGGCTCTCATTAGTATGCGTATCGTCGGAGGATCGAATCCCACTCATGATATATTTTTTTATTATTTTTAATTCAAATTTATAATTGCATGAGTAAATAATATTAAAGTTTTCTTGAGTTTTAAATTAATTTTATATTTTTCGCTAAATATTCTATAGTAAAATACTCTGTAGCGTCTGTATAAAATTGATGTAATACCTGAAACATAATAATTTTATAAAAAAAACAGCAATATATTAACTACTTTAAGGTTTATAATTGGCGGGACGGTACTTATCATAAAAACAAGAGAAACATAAAAATAAATAGCAATGAGCACATTTCACAAATGCAGTAGTATAAACATTTAATCATAAACTTAAGTGGCAAATCATGTGTGAAATGTGTTTATCCCGGGTTCAAATCCCAGACGAGCCCGGACTTTTCTTTAAATTCGAGCACATATTATTTACTACAATGTTGTGCATTGGATGCAACACAAACACGCACTGGGTAGAACATGTGGTTCGTTGGTCTAGGGGTATGATTCCCGATTTGGGTGGCGGTGGTCCCGGGTTCACATATTTTATACTACATTGTTGTTATAAATATAATAATAATGTCGATTTGGTATAATATTGATTCTACCCATATTGAAACTTTCTTTTAATTTTGACAAATTGCAACAGGAAAGTAATGAACGTGATTGCGTTGGCCAGGAATCGAACCCGGATCAACAGCTTGGAAGGCAACTATGCTGACCATTACACCACCGACGCCTAACATATGGCATTCAATTATGGTGTAATAATTTATAGTTGTAACTTATTATGTTGATAAAGTTTATTGTTAGTTTTTGTATGTAGACAGCAAAATGCCAAGACATGACAAATCATTTCTTAAAATAATGTGATATTTCCGAACATCTCTTGTGGATATTCAGCCGACAAAATTTAGACGAAAATTACAACGCATAAACGGCTATAGTTAATTACCAATTGCCAAACTGGATTATACAATATATGGTCATTACATAAATTAGTTTTACCAAGCATCCCTTGTGGGGATCGAACCCACGACCTTTGGATTAGAAGTCCAACGCGCTATCCGTATATATTCATATTATATTTGGTATATTTTTTATACCTAATAGTATTTGATGATTATATTGTTCATAATATTGTTACGAATGTGTGGGTGAGCACCCACTTAACTACATAACTACCCCTCTCAGTCATGAGATAGTCGTCCAGTGTAAACAATACTTCCTCTTTGACAAAAAGTGAAGATTCCCCATATAAATTTATTTCCAAATCCCGTCTCCCAACAATTGAAATACCCAAATTTGCGGGTGATTTCAAAAAATGGCCGCTATTTTACGAAACATTCAAAACCCTTATACATGAGAATCCCGAGATTGACATTATATCCAAATTTCATTATTTAATGGGCGCCTTAGAAGGCCCAGTAATGAAAATTTTCAATACTATCTTACCTACCGCCAATAATTATTTAATTTTATGGGAAGCATTGATAAACAAATACGAAAATAAACGTTATCTGGGCATTCACTATTTCAAACAGTTAATGTCTTTTAAAACTGTAAACTCATCACAGTTGCATAACTTTATCGAGAAATTTGACACTGCAGTACAAGCATTAAATCAATTAAATATTCCAGACCTGTATGATTTTTTACTAACATCGATCGCTCTATCTAAATTAGATACCAATTTACAGGAAAAATTTGAAAATTATTTTCAGGGCGAATATCCTTCCTATAAAGAATTATTACAATTCATAAATAAAGTGCAAAAAGGTCAAAGTTATATTTATGATCTGCGCAAAAAGGTTGCGAAAACCCACATTTCTCATTCGTTGATAACCAGCAATGTCAAATCGCTTCAATGTTACTTATGCAACAAAAGTCATAATATTTTCAAATGCCCGCAATTTCTAGAATTAAATATCAATGACAGATGGTCGGCAATTAAGAGACTGAATCTTTGTTCGAATTGCCTGGGTCATAAACGTAACAGTCCGTGTCATTCTAAGAAAACATGTCTGTATTGTAATACCAAACATCATACTTTGTTACATTCAAATAATTGTGTTGACAATACAAAACAAGTTCCAACAGATATTCATTCCAAAAATTCGAAGCAAAAAATTTCCGATTCCAATCCAAGTAATACTTTATGCGTTGTAAATGAATTAGATTTATCACATCATATAAATCTTATGCCGACCGCAACTGTTTATGTTTTGGCAACAGGTATTAAAACTAGTCCGTTACGTGTCATTATTGATACCGCAAGCGATCGCAACTATGTGATTGAGTCATTCTGTAAATCCGCTCAACTAGAGATAACACCGATCGAGGCTCAAGTCATTTCTATAGGTAACTCTTCGCAAAAAATTACGGGCATGGCAAATTTTATTATTATGTCGAATGATTGTTCCTTTCAAATGTCTGTATGTGCCTATGTAATACATGAAATTGTCAAACCACAACCGACCATTAAAATTCCATTCGATTCCATTAATAAATTTTTATCTTTACAACTGGCGGATAATAAATTTTTCATTCCTCAAACTGTTAATGGAATCTTGGGTTGTGATGTATTTAATGCTATTATTATGTCAAATCACATAAAAACCGTCGATTCACCTATCGCATTGGATACAAAATCAGGTTATGTAATAATGGGATCTCTTCCAAACGTTGCATTGCCTGATTCAAGTTCGACAAATCTATGCACGATTGAACATGATTCCTTATCTAAACAAATAAAAACATTTTTTGAGTTAGAAGATGTACCTGACATGATTGTGTCGGAAAACGATTATTGCGAACAGTTCTATACGTCCACCACAGTACGGAATTTCGATGGACGTTACGTGGTCGCATTACCATTTCGTGACAACGTTAATGTAAATTTTCAGAAATCATATGAACTCGCGCATAAGCGTTATTGTATTTTAGAACAAAAATTTCGGAAATCTTTTGAATTCCATAAACAATATTCAGAAGTAATTCAAGATTATTTACAACAAAAACACATGTCATTTTTAGGCCATGTAAATGATTCCGCAGCCAATGAAGGGTATTATATTCCACATTTTGCCGTGATTAAAGACAGCTCATCCACACCGTTACGAATTGTATTTGATGCATCAGCAAAGAATGCTGAATTTCCTTCCGTGAATGCCAACCTATTTTCCGGGCCAAAGCTACAGTCTAACATTATCACAATTCTTCTTAACTTTCGTTTCGGCGAAATTGCGTTAACGGCCGATATTAAACAGATGTACAGAAATATATTAATTCGTGATCAAGATAGACGATTTCAAAGGATACTTTGGAGATTTTCTCCGGAAGATCCCCTCGGCATTTATGAATTAAACACTGTCACGTTTGGTATTACGTCATCTCCTTTTCATGCGTTACGCACTATTAAACAACTAGCTAAAGATGAGAGCAAAAATTACCCCTTAGCCACTGATACAATTCAAAATGATATTTATATCGACGACGTGGTTACTAGTGCAGACACCGTCGAAATCGCAAAACAACTTTACGTTCAATTGTCGAGTTTGTTCCGATCCGCGTGTTTTGAACTAGCGAAGTGGGCTTCGAATGATCGTCTAATGTATAAACAATTTGAATTACACCATAAAACACAAATTAATTTTTCACAAACAATCTCTGAGTTTGATACTTCCGTTAAAGTATTGGGATTGAGATGGGATCCAATTCAAGATTGTTTTAAATTTAATATCAACCTTCTCTATCAAAATTGGACAAAACGTCATATATTATCCACCATTGCTCGTATTTGGGATCCCTTAGGTTTTATAACGCCTATTACCATCAAATTCAAAATGATCATGAAAGAACTATGGTTATTAAAATTGGATTGGGATGAGCCATTACCTTCCTCATTAGTTGCAACATGGCTTAGTATTTATAATCAACTTCCAGAATTAATTAATCTTTCCATTCCTCAATTTGTAGGTACCAAAAATTATATTCGTTGTTCTCTTTACGGTTTTGCGGATAGTTCAGAAAAGGCTTATGGGGCTGTGATTTATATCAAGCCTTGCCATGATAATAAATATTACGTTCTTCTTTCAAAATCAAAAATTACTCCAATTAAAGTTCAAACTTTAGCTAGGTTAGAGTTGTGTGCGGCGCATTTATTGGCAAAATTATTATCCTTTGTCATATCTTCCAATCATCATTCTTTATGTATCGAAGAAATATATGGTTTTACGGACTTGATGATTGTGCTTCATTGGTTAACAGGACCAGCTCATAGATGGAAAACTTTTGTCGCAAATAGAGTAACGAAAGTTCATGATTTACTTCCTTCTGCCAAGTGGTATCATATTCCTTCCGAGGCAAATATTGCCGATTGTGTTTCTCGTGGTTCATTACCAAATACATTGCTTAATAATAGTAATTGGTACACAGGTCCCTCATGGCTTTACTCTCAAAGAAGTCATTGGCCCATACGTTCTACGTTAGATTCCATGCAAAATGTTCCAGAAGAAAAAGTTTCATCTTGCTTAGTGGCAAACTCCTGTAAAAATGATCTATACGAATTTACTTCCACTATATCTTCATGGGCCAGACTATGCAGAATATTTGTATTTATTTTACGTTTCTGCAAAATTATTCCATCTAGAAGTGAAATATATTTTTCAGATTTCAACAAAGCCGAATTAACTATAATCAAACTTATCCAACAAATCTATTTTTTCGAAGAAATTGATTGTTTGAAAATGAACAAGTTTCCTAAAAGGTATCGGACTTTACGACTATTTTTACATAATGGGTTCTTAAGAGTTGGTGGACGTTTAACACATGCTAACCTGGATTTTGATCATAAATTTCCCTTGCTTTTACCCAAAAAGGATCACGTGATAAATTTAATAATTGATTATTATCATGAGAAACATTTACATGCTGGTCCACATTTACTCACTTCCATTCTTCGTCAAAGATACTGGATTTTATCCATTCGCAGTATTGTACGCCAACGTATTCATAAATGCAATAAGTGCTTTAGGAGTAATCCTAAATCTTTTACTCCTATTATGGCTGATTTACCTTCTCCTCGTGTTATGGAGGCAAAACCTTTTCAGCACACTGGTACTGACTATGCTGGTCCCTTTCGCGTAACCATGGGAAAATTTAGGGGCGTAAAAAGTTCAAAAGCATATATTTGTTTATTTATTTGTTTTTCCACAAAGGCAATACATATTGAGCTTGCCTCCGATTTAACCACTTCGACGTTTTTAAATTGTTTTAAGGGCTTTATTTCACGAAGAGGTCCAGTTTCTTGTCTGTATTCAGATCGCGGAACAAATTTCGTTGGTGCCAAATCAGAACTGAAAGATATATTTCAGCTTATTAACTCAAAAACATTTAGTGCATCATTAAACTCCGAACTTCACAAACATAATATCAATTGGTCTTTCAATCCGCCAGCCGCACCCCACTTCGGGGGTTTGTGGGAGTCCAACATAAAATCTATAAAAGCGCATTTATATCGAGTAATAGGTGAACAAATTCTTACTTACGAGGAATTAAATACCGTGTTAATCCAAATTGAGGCGCTTCTCAATTCTCGACCATTATGTTGGATGAGTTCCGATCCAAGTGATCCCCAACCTCTTACGCCAGCTCATTTCCTCACTTTAACTCCCTTAAACATCCTTCCATCAAAAAACATATTGCAAATAGATTTACCGACGCGAAAACAATTAATTGATAAAATAATACAATCTTACTGGAAGAGATGGCATTCTGAATATTTAAGTGATTTACAATCACGTCAAAAGTGGAACACCCCTTCTCTCCCGGCTAAAAAGGGTATGTTAGTTCTAATCAAAAATGAAAATTTGCCTCCTCTTCAATGGTCCATGGGGGTTATTGAAGACGTTTTTCCTGGAAAAGACGGAGAGGTGCGCACAGCTTTAGTAAGAACCAGGGCTACGTTATTGAAACGCCCTGTAGTAAAGCTCTGCCCCCTACCTACACAGTAATTTATGGTGAAGAAATATGTTTTTTCATATTTGCAAACGATATAAAAAAAAAAATGGTCTAATGCTTTTATTTGTTACCTTTCAATTAATTCCTTCCTTTTACCTTTTACCATTATATGTGGTAACTTTATCAGTAACTTGCTTCTATTCAGAGGAATCGCATGACAACTCAATCACACTCAAGAGCAGAATGTTATTTGCTCAGTTGTTCTCACAACTTTTGATAATATTCAAAATCTGTACATTCAAGAAAATCGAACGCTATGAATCATCATAATATTGCAGTTATTGTAAAAATGCCTTTAATTTGGAAATGAATACGGCCCCATATTGGACACTTTCCAAAGACGAACGGGTTGTTTTAAACCATGCTGGTTACTCAAAATAAACTACCACCATTATCAGGGCCGGATTTAGAAATTTGGCGCCCTGGGGCACTGATAAAAATGCCGCCCCCCCATCCCTGAAATTTTACTTAAATTGTTTTTATATATTATTCCCGTACCAAAAATTAAAATTTAAAAAAAAAAGATTTTTTTTGAAAATCTTGAGTTTTTTTTTACATCTTGAAATATTTTTGAAATTTTGAACTTTTTTTAAAGCAATCGCACTGCTTCAGCTGCGTAAAGACAAAATATAGATGCGCGTAAGCGTCGCGTCGCAGTCTAACAGAACCCATGGGTTACAGAACCCATAGAAATGTAAACAAAATTCATACTCATTACTAAAATATCTATAAAATACCTGATAATTTTATGTGCATATGTCAGATGATCACCTTTTACCGCCAAATGTTTCTTTTTCAATTTTTTTTTATTGTATCACCGAAACTCATCGACCTGCCTCCCATAAATTTAAGCAGTTCTTCATTTTGTCAATCAGCACGTTTCCTTATCAATAGGAATCGAATCATTCGAATCAGTTGATCCGTGTTCTCGAAATCGACTTGAATAATTAAAATAAATATTGGATTTGTATTGATGGGGAGACGTGCTGATTAATTTTTGGCACAGGCAGGTCCAACTGTTTTGAAAAATGGTAGTTGAGTTTCGATATTTCCTCTGTGAAACAGCTACGCAGTGCGATTGCTTTGAAAAAAGTTTAATTATAATTTTCAAAAAATTTCAATATACATATAAAAAAAAAGTTTTTTAAAGGGCATTTTTTCCATTCTTCTAATAATTTTAAATTCTTCTATAAAATGTATTTTTCAGTACGAGAAGTTCCAGTAATTTGCAGTAACCAATGGAACAATGCCATGCGTCACTGGTTTAATTTTTTTCGGCGCTATAAGCTTGGAAGTGCCCAAATTTGTCGTCCTAAGAGGGCACGAGATCTGAAGAACACATTTTTCTTAAACTTTCAGCTTGTTTACGAAACTTTATATTAGCCAAATTGCCAAATTTGATAATAACTTATTAACCAATTTGATAATTTACGTTCGGAGAGGGAGGCAAAACAAAATAATAAATTTTAATAATCGGCTATTTGAACCCAAATTTTGCATTGCAATCGTATTATGTTTTGTTAATTATATTTCTTGGAATAAAAAATGTTATTAAAAAAAATAGTTAATTGGAATGTATAACATTTTTTTCTCACTTTCCAAATTTTGCCGCCCCAGAAAATCTGCCGCCCTGGGCAGTAGCCCCGACTGCCCCTACTGTAAATCCAGCACTGACCATTATCAACAAATCCAAGGTCAATGAAATTTTAATTCCTATTCGACATAAAGGCATCTTAGATATGACAATTGATAATTCCACCAAGACAAATTTTCATGTGTTCCGAAAAAACAAGCATGTATGATGCAAACCTAAAATAATTTCCAGTGGTGCTATATGCAAGTCTCATGGAAGTGATATCCATTAATAGAGAATATTAAAAATCATTTGCTATAGCAGAGAATGAAATTTGGCAGCATTATTACAGCAAGATACTGAGCAACTATAATATAGTTCAAACAAATAACAAGGTTACTGCTTTCCTGTCAAGATTACTTATCCTTAATATTGATTATGATGGGTGAACATAGAAGCATTAGATATTCCATCAAAACTTAACTTACTTCCTAGATTCAATTAAGAATCAACATGTTATTTCTTCACCATCTCTCATGTGTTTTATTCCTTGCATAGTTTAACTAATGGTTTTGATATTTCCATTTATATTTTCTAGTATTAAAAGGTACCCTTTTTCGCCCGGGGAAGAAATGGTGACGCCACTGACTATTACATGCGTCGATAATAATAATATAGTCGCCATCTCGGGGTTACAATATGTCACCCGATTTGTTCCTTTCTAATTCAGACTACCTGTCTCTTTCCTTCCAAAACTTTGACCTCAGACTTCCGACATGTTGTCAGTCTATTCTTTCTATTTGAGTTGATTTTCAGTTCACTTCGCTTCCAGTGCATTTTCAGTTCGGGTGCTATCTAGTTCCGTATTCAATTCGACCACCAGTGCGTTATCAGTACGCTTACAGCTTGCTTTCTTTCTTTGGTTCAGTTTCGAGTTTCCTTCCGAGTCAGTCGAGTTTAGAAGTTTTGTTGAGTTTCCTTTTATTGACCAAAGTGAGGTCATTTTTTAGTTTGTTATTATCATAGAAGAAGAACGTTTTTAGTTTCCATATACAGTCCACGAATACCAGCCATCCGTGTGGTCTACTGATCGAATCAAGGCCACACCACTGTGAAATTGTACAGAAAAGTACAAAATAAGTTACTCGTTTCCTAACATTGTGCAAATAGTTGTTATTCATACCCATTATTGTTCAATAATTATAATTATTGTTTATGCTATATATAATTTACTCCTAGTATTATCAACAGCGCGATAAGAGCCTCCGTGGCGCAATTGGCTAGCGCGTTCGGCTGTTAACCGAAAGGTTGGTGGTTCGAGCCCACCCGGAGGCGTAAAGTAGTTCTGTTTATACTCTGGAATATTCAATGCATATTGTTTATACTCAATAATATTTGATGATTATATTATTCATCATATATATATAATTTGCACGAGCCCGGATATTTCTCTAAATTCGAGCACATATTATTTACTACAGTATTGTATATTGGATCGAGAACATATTATTTACAACAATGTTGTACATTGGTTCCAACACAAACATGCACTGGATAAAACCCGTGGCTTGTTGGTCTAGGGTTATGATTTCGGCTTAGATATTAAACGTTTTTTTTTTTTTTTTATTTTATTTTTATTCTGCAATCTATAAAAATAATTATATTTAGCAGAGAATGCTGACAAGTGTTTACAATTGGTTGTTTACAAATTAGCACATACGCCCAGTGGTGTATCTACTATAGTTAATATATAAAAAAGAAAAAACTAAAGACAAGTATAGAGAAAAAAAATATAAATATAAAAATAAACTATAATAAATCTCGAGGTATTTTCCTTTTGAGCCTGGTCGGCTGGCCTTCCTGGTATAAGTTGCATGCTAGTTGGTTTGGATGTGCGTCAATTCTATTCTTATAATTACAGGCAAACATTGATATATGTTCTTGAATTGTAGGTATACCCGTGTCTTTGTGGAGAATCCATGTTGGCGTGTAGTGAGGAGCGTTTAATATTTGCCGCAGGAATTTGTTTTGTGCTCGATATTAAACGTAAGTGACAAATCATGTGTAAAATATATTTATTGAATAGAACCCGTGGCATGTTGTACGTTGAATGCAACACAAATACGCAGTGCGTACAACCCGTGGCTCGTTGGTCTAGGGGTATGATTCCAGCTTTGGGTGCGGGAGGTCCCGGGTTCAAATCCCGGACGAGCCCTGACATTTCTTTAAATTCGAGTGCCTATTATTTACTACAATCTTGTACATTGGATCCAACACAATCACGCATTGGATAGAACCCGTGGCTCGTTTGTCTAGGGGTATGATTTTGGCTTAGATAATAAACGTAAGTGGCAAATCATGTGTAAAATGTGTTTATTCAGTATACCGCGTAGGTTACAGATTAGTGTAGTTTATTAGGTATAAGAATAATTGTTGTTTATACCCATTATTTCATTGTTCAATAATTATAATTATTGTTCATGCTATATATAATTTACTCTTACTATTATCAAGAAGCGATAAAAGCCTCCGTGGCGCAATTGGCTAGCGCGTTCTGCTGTTAACCGAAAGGTTGGTGGTTCGAGCCCTCCCGAAGGCGTAAAGTAGTTATTATTTATACTCTGGAATATTCAATGCATATTGTTTATACCCAATAGTATTTGATGATTATATTATTCATCATATATGTAGTTTATTATTTCTCGTGCCCGGACATTTCTTTAAATTCGAGCACATATTATTTACTACAGTATTGTGTATTGGATCGAGAACATATTATTTACAACAATGTTGTACATTGGTTCCAACACAAACATGCAGGTATTGGGCACTGGTTGCGCCGTGGGTTACAGATTAGTGTAGTTTATTGGGTATAAGAATAATTGTTGTTTATACTCATTATTGTTCAATAATTATAATTATTGTTCATGCTATAATTAATTTACTCCTACTATTATCAAGAAGCGATAAGAGCCTCCGTGGCGCAATTGGCTAGCGCGTTCGGCTGTTAACCGAAAGGTTGGTGGTTCTAACCCACCCGGGAGCGTGAAGTAGTTATTATTTGTACTCTGGAATATTCAATGCATATTGTTTATACCCAATAGTATTTGATGATTATATTATCCATCATATATGTAGTTTACACGAGCCCGTACATTTCTTTAAATTCGAGCACATATTATTTACTACAGTATTGTATATTGGATCGAGAACATATTATTTACAACGATGTTGTACATTGGTTCCAACACAAACATGCACTGGGTAAAACCCGTGGCTTGTTGGTCTAGGGGTATGATTCCCGCTTTGGGTGCGGGAGGTCCAGCGTTCAAATCCCGGACGAGCCCTGGCATTTTTTTGAATTCGACTGCCTATTATTTACTACAATGTTGTACATTGGATCCAACACAAACACACACTGGGGTCTAGGGGTATGATTTTGGCTTAGATAATAAATGTAAGTGGCGAATCATATGTAAAATGTGTTTATTGAGTACAACGCGTGGCTCGTTGGTCTAGGGATACGATTTCCGCTTATGGTGCCGGAGGTCCCGGGTTCAAATCCCGGACGAGCCCGGACATTTCTATAAATTCGAGCACATATTATTGACTACAATAATGTATATTGGATCGAAAATATATTATTTACTACAACGTTGTACATTGGATGCAACACAAACACGCACTGGATAGAACCCGTGGCTCGTTGGTCTAGGAGTATGATTTGGGCTTAGATAATAAACGTAAGTGGCAAATCATGTGTAAAATGTGTTTATTGAGTATACCGCGTAGGTTACAGATTAGTGTAGTTTATTAGGTATAAGAATAATTGTTGTTTATACCCATTATTTCATTGTTCAATAATTATAATTATTGTTCATGCTATATATAATTTACTCTTACTATTATCAAGAAGCGATAAAAGCCTCCGTGGCGCAATTGGCTAGCGCGTTCTGCTGTTAACCGAAAGGTTGGTGGTTTGAGCCCTCCCGAAGGCGTAAAGTAGTTATTATTTATACTCTGGAATATTCAATGCATATTGTTTATACCCAATAGTATTTGATGATTATATTATTCATCATATATGTAGTTTATTATTTCTCGTGCCCGGACATTTCTTTAAATTCGAGCACATATTATTTACTACAGTATTGTATATTGGATCGAGAACATATTATTTACAACAATGTTGTACATTGGTTCCAACACAAACATGCAGGTATTGGGCACTGGTTGCGCCGTGGGTTACAGATTAGTGTAGTTTATTGGGTATAAGAATAATTGTTGTTTATACCCATTATTGTTCAATAATTATAATTATTGTTTATGCTATATATAATTTACTCCTACTATTATCAAGAAGCGATAAGAGCCTCCGTGGCTAGCGCGTTCGGCTGTTAACCGAAAGGTTGGTGGTTCGAGACCACCCGGGGGCGTAAAGTAGTTATTATTTATACTCTGGAATATTCAATGCATATTCTTTATACCCAATAGTATTTGATGATGATTATTCATCATATATGTAGTTTACACGAGCCCGGACATTTCTTTAAATTCGAGCACATATTATTTACTACAGTATTGTATATTGGATCGAGAACATATTATTTACAACAATGTTCTTGTTGTTATTCATACCCATTATTGTTAAATAATTATAATTATTGTTTATGCTATATATAATTTACTCCTACTATTATCAACAGCGCGATAAGAGCCTCCGTGGCGCAATTGGCTAGCGCGTTCGGCTGTTAACCGAAAGGTTGGTGGTTCGAGCCCACCCGGGAGCGTAAAGTAGTTACTGTTTATACTCTGGAATATTCAATGCGTATTGTTTATACTCAATAATATTTGAATATTATATTATTCATCATATATATATATTGTTGTACACCCCTGATATTATAATTTGCTAACCACTGTCATAATATTAGATTCCTAACAAGTCCAGACTGAAATCTTAGAACCCCTGAGCTTTAGCTGATATTAACGGTTTATATTAACTTTTATCAGACTACTGCGTAGTAGCTGACATTACGCATTCTCTCACGAAATCATAAATCTACATCGACAAATCTCAGCAAGATCCTATTATCGACATTCCGCCTAGTTAACAATTCTCACCAAGTTCGCATGAATAACATTTTGTTTAATCAGCTAAATTCATTACTTTGTCCTTTTCGTTGTATAGAACATTCGAGACAAATCCCCACTACGTTTCAAAGGATTTTAGTTTAATAATTATGAAATAAATCGGTCTTAATCTGTCGGTCGCCGGGCAAACACTTCTCTTCCAATACCTCCGAGTTCCTTGTACTTAAAGTGAAATAAAGTGAAGTTTTTGAAATAGTCTTTTCATTTATCAATCTCAAGTATTTTCAGCAAGTAAGTTTCAGGATTTTCAGCGGCGCCAACAGCTCTTTCTGTTCATCAACGCGGTGCCCAACATATTATTTGGTGACAGCAGTGTTGACTGATGAAGTAACATTCAAAATTTTTTTTTGTGAGCTTGAAAGAACGGCGTTTGAAAAATAACTGCCAAGAGTGACAAAAAAAATATAAGGGTGCTACTTCAAACTAGGCAGTACATCGTGGAAAACTTTGCCTCCGAGGATAGCCTTGCCAAAAGTGGACGTAGTTGATGATCAGAAACCGAAGACTCAAATATTGAATAATTCAAGACCCGAAGTAATAAAATAATTCAAGACCCGAAGTATAAAATAATTCAAGACCCGAAGTATAAAATAATTCAAGACCCGAAGTATAAAATAATTCAAGACCCAAAGTATAAAATAATTCAAGACCCAAAGTATAAAATAATTCAAGACCCGAAGTATAAAATAATTCAAGACCCGAAGTATAAAATAATTCAAGACCCGAAGTAAAATATAAATCAAGACCCGAAGTAAAATATAAATCAAGACCCGAAGTAATAAAATGAATCAAGACCCAAAGTAAAAAATAAATCAAGACCCCAAGTAAAAAAAAATAAATCAAGACCCGAAGTAAAATTTCCATGGATCGTATCAAGGAGAAACCAGAAAATCAAGAATTAAGAATCAAGAATTTTTCAACGAGAGACCAGGAGAAAAGGTTATTCCAGCTGGTTGAGAAAATCAATTGCTGCAGATACCACTGCCTCGTCTTCTTCAAACGGTAAATCGGGACTAGCGGGAATACGTTTGATATCATTGCCATCAGTTTCCAACAATGCCTCCGATTCAGAAGACTTATTTTCTTCATCTAAATCGAAATTTATTTGATGTGCTGTTACCTTCTTTAACTTTTTTATTTATACTTTCACTATTAAAATCATTAAAATTTACCTTTTTTACGTTGTTCTTTGTTAATTCAGCAAATTTCAGGCGGCAAGTATTACAGATTTTTTGCTGAAGTGTCCTTTTTGTAATTGGTAAATTTAAAACTTCTAAATGTTTTTTTGAAACTGGCCGAAGGTTTTTTACTTTCCTATGACGACACAAGTTGAATGGATTCAAACATCGATCTACTCTTATTTTGTCAAATTTTGACATTGCAAGAAATTTTTATTATCTTATTTACAAATTTAGTGTTGATTATTTGAATGACAGCGCGCAAAAGAGTTATTTATGCAATCTTTGGTTAGTTTTTGGTAGAGGTTGAATTGGCTTTTAGTCATTGTACTTGCTAGTGCTTGAACTGCATTTTAGTCAATATCTAATCGCATAACATACAGAATTCATACGGCATGCAGCACCACAAGTTCTCACATGTTTCATTACGTCGCGCGCTGCGTATTTCAAGACGTTCCGTTCTGCGCGACTAGCGCTCAAAAATATTTAATATCTTTGGATCTAACTGTGCCTCTAACATCAAATAAAGAGATTTTGTAGTAGAGAGTAAAAGAAAAATTATGTTGTTTATTTCAATCGATTCGAGTCGGGTAAAGGGTATGTAAATCCTATGTTAACAATAGACTGCTTTTATTGCTAAAAAATTGCAAAAACAATAATTTTTTTTTGCAATTAACTGAAAGTTGAATTCAAAATGAGTACAATAAAAAAAAATCATACTGATCTGTTCACGTATGTTTTATCATACGTGTTACCTTATACGTGAGGGTGTGCGTTGCCCGCATGGCCTCAAGGTCGGCAAACGTGCGGTCCAGCGCACGAAAGGGTTAATAAAATGTTTTTAATGTAAGCCTAGTGGACGTCATGTGAAGACAGCGTTTCGGAAGCTATCCCCCAAACCGAAAGTAGACTTTGTATAGTTTGTATAGTTTATAGGAGTGAAGTAAATGTTAACTATTTGTGTGTGAAGTGAATAGGGCCCGATGTATGGACAGGTATTGGACACTGGTTGCGCCGTCGGTTACAGATTAGTGTAGATATAAATCGCATGTTAGAATAAGCAATGTTTTAGGATAAGTGATTATTAAATGTAAATATAGGTTAGTTAATTAAGTAACGAACAAACGCCTTTTCATTAGTAATATTTGAAGTAACTAGTCTCTTACAGGATTGCGACGTCACGGTAAGGTTGTAGAAAGACCGCGAATGTACACAATTATAATAAATTAGAGCATGACTAAAGGAGTATAGTAAATAAATAAAAGGATATTCATGACAAATGAAAAGGGTCCATGACTATACATATAGTTTACCCCTACTATTATCAGCATTACGACAAGGGTCTACGAGGAAAAATATTATTATTTATACCCTATAATATTCAATGAAAATTGTTTATATCTAATAGAATTTCATGATTTTATTGTTTATCATAGATATAGTTTATCCCTAGTATTATCAGTATTATGACAAGGGCCTGTTATAATTATTGTTTGTGCTATATATAATTTATTCCTATTATTATCAACAGCGCAACAAGAGCCTCCGTGGCGCAATTGGCTAGCGCGTTCGGCTGTTAACAGAAAGGTTGGTGGTTCTAGCCCACCCGGGGGCGTAAAGTAGTTGTTATTTATACTCTGGAATATTCAATGCATATTGTTTATACCCAATAGTATTTGATGATTATATTATTCATCATATATGTAGTTACACGAGCCCGGACATTTCTTTAAATTCGAGCACATATTATTTACTACAGTATTGTATATTGGATCGAGAACATATTATTTACAACAGTGTTGTACATTGGTTCCAACACAAACACTCACTGGATAAAACCCGTGGCTTGTTGGTCTAATGTTATGATTTCGGCTTAGATATTAAACGTAAGTGGCAAATCATGTGTAAAATGTGTTTATTGAGTAGAACCCGTGGCATGTTGTACATTGGATGCAACACAAATACGCAATGGGTACAACCCGTGGCTCGTTGGTCTAGGGTATGATTTCTGCTTAAGGTGCAGGATGTCCCAGGTTCAAATCCCGGACGAGCCCGGACATTTCTTTAAATTCGAGTACATATCATTTACTACAAAATTGTAGTATATTTACTACAATGTTGTAGATTGGATCCAACACAAACACGCACTGGATCAAACCCGACGAGCCGGAACTTTCTTTAAATTCGAGCACATATTATTTACTACAATGTTGTACATTGGATGCAACGTGGGTTACAGATTAG